GCTGCAGTAGCTGCAATGAACTCAGCTTCTGCAGTTGATTGGGCCACTATTTCCAGCTTCTTTGAACACCAAGAAAAACAAGCTGACCTAAATGTAAAACAATAACCCGAAGTACTTTTCATATCATCCACTGATCCAGCCCAGTCACTGTCAGAATACCCTTGCAACTTAAACTTCTGAATTCTGCAGAATTTGATTCCATATGAAAGAGTACCTTTCAAGTACCTTAACACCCTTTTTGCAGCTACCATATGCAGTTCACTTGGACAAAGATCTGTATGAGTTAGTTGTAGCTTCTTTGTAGCTCTCCAGGTGGATTCTTTGAAAGGAAGTCTTGTCTGTTTGCCCAAAAAACAAGCTTTGCACCTTGTGATCTGCTCCTCCAGGATTGGTAACCCAGTTGCCATTTCATTCTTCTGCATGAATAGTAAGCCTTTGTAATGAAAATGCCCCAACCTTTTGTGCCATATTTCTGAATCACTAGCCTGACACTTGAATGCCGCTTGCTCCTTCTCAAGGGGATTTAGAGAAAAACTCTTCTGTTGCATCTTTATTCTAAACAGCTCCTGACCATTTGAGTCAAAGATCAAACACTTCCCTTCTTCAAATATCACTTTAAATCCCTTTTCTACCAACTGCCCCACACTCAGCAAATTCTGATCAATATCAGGCACGTACATCACACCAGAAACCAGCTTAGTTCCAGCATAGCTCTCTATTGCTACAGTCCCTTTACCTTTCACTTCTAGATACTCTCCATTTCCAATTCTCACTCTTGACTGCAATGACTTGTCAAGGTCTCTAAATAGCTTTTCATCACTTGTCATGTGATTTGTGCAACCACTATCAACAAGCCAACTATCACATGGAGCACTAGAGGAGAAACAAGAGGCAGCAAATAATTGATCTGCCTCATGCTGGTCTGCAACATGTGCCTCACCTTGCTGCTGATCTCCTTTTTCTTTGCAGAACCTTTCAATGTGTCCAAGCCTATGACACTTTCTGCACTTCACATCTGGCCTCTTCCAACATCTGAAGTGTGGGTGATTCTGCTTTCCACAATGCTTACATGAGGAATGCCCGCCCCAATTGTTCTTAGAGTTGATTGCATTGTTCTCTCCTGCAGCAGCTTCTGAACCACTACTGTCATCTCCTTTCTTCCATCTTACATTATGCTGTTCTTTAGCCTGCAAAGCTCCTTCTGTACTTCCTTCAAGCCTCATTAACCTTCTCTGCTCTTGTGCTTGCAGAGCACTTAGCAATTCTGCCAACTTGATTTGAGACAAATCCTTGGTATTCTCCAAAGATGCAATGGTTGCTTCAAACCTTTCGGGCAAGGAGACAAGAACCTTTTGCACTAGCCTATTATCAGAGAGGTCAGTGCCTAGAGCTCTTGCTTGATTTGCAATATTTACCAACTTATCAGAATACTCCTTAATTGTTTCAGACTCCTTCATCTGCAATCTCTCAAATTGTGTGATTAGATTCAACCCCTTCATGCTTCTAATCCTCTCATCTCCTTTATACTCATCTTTGAGGAAGTCCCAAATAGCTTGAGCTGATTCACAAGCCATAATTCTGCTGAAAATGGCAGGTGAGACAGCAGCATATAAACAAAACTTTGCCTTTGCTTTTCTTGTTATCCTCTCCTTATGAAACTTGATCTGATTGATGGTTGAATTATCAGGAAGGGGAGCAACTTCATAATCTTGTTCTACAGCTTCCCAAAAATCGCAACCCTCTAGATAGGCTTGTATTCTCACTGCCCATGCTTGATAATTTTCTCCATCGAATATTGGTGGAGCCATTGCTGAAAAACCACTCGATCCTCCCTCCATTAATTTCTCAAGTCACTCACAGCCCCTTAAGATCAAGAAGGCTCTGATACCAATGTTGATCTTTTATGAGAAAAACAAACATCAGAAACAATATTGTGCAACAGCTTATTTTATTCTGACTAATGAACTTGTTTTTAAATACAAAACTAAGCTCATGTGGTTGCTACTAACCAGCTGATTTTGTTGGTCCACAAAATCAACAACAAACTAACAAAGCAATAACAGTAAAATGCAGTAAACAAACTCCTAAACAAAAGACTAATCAATTTAAAAAAAACAACTAATTAACTCCTAAAAAATAGGACATCAACAGCAACCTTGAAACACCAACAACTATCCATGCTTTTACTGACGTATTTATTATCATGCAGAAAGTTCACTGGATAGCTTTTACCTGTTTTGCAATTAACTGAACAGTTCCGGACAAAATGTAGATAAACTTTTTAAGGTAGTCAGTAGCTTGAGCTCCACTTTTTGTTGGCATCTTTATGTTGTTCTTCTATAAGGATTTCTTCATCCTTAACGTCGCAAGTCGGGGTATAATATGGGAAGTTGTTCTATCTTTGTGTTGTCTCTTCGCAAGTCATTCATTTCATTTGATTTTGGTTATGCAATGGTAGTTACAATGCTAAGCTTTCATGAAGTTGATGAGATAACATGGCTCAAGATAGGCTTCGGCTTGTTCCACTCTATGGGATAGTGATGGATTTGAAGACATTATTGGTTTCCTGTCATCGTGTGCTTCTGGTTTGCCAACCATTTTGCAAAGCTACCTTGTTTCTGATATTTTCTACACTCCACGTGTCACCTGTCCGTAAATTTGTACTTCTAATTTCGTGTATTGGATAAATTGAATCGAATAGGAAAAATCATCTTATATATAGTCTCATATAATGTTTAGCGTACATATCTAGTTGTAGTTAATAATTCTAATGGTTTTTTTAGGGGATAAGTTATTTTACTTTTTTTTTTTTCTGCCTATTTTTTGTTATCATTCTCCAATATCATTTGGATCAGGAGAGAGAAATAATAAAGGTTAGTTGAAATCTTGATCTAATAGTGTTGGAGAATAATAGATAAAGGTTGGTAGAATAATCTATCTATAGGGGTGATGATATTAGTTTTTTTTTTTAAATTAAATTAAAAGTTTATACTAGAGAAAGACACGCCTATTTGTTTGAATCACAAAATTTATGTGTAATTTGTTGGTCAGTTCTCGTATCAGGGACTTTTGGGAATTGATTTGGCTTATGAAATATATACTTAAAAATTAATTAAAAATGCACGTTAAGAAACTTATGGGGTAATTATTGGGGTTATATGACAATAGCGATGTATTTTTTCAAAAAAATAATCAAATTTATTATATTTTCGCTTTAGATTTATGTTTTTTTCTCTCTCTCTTCTTATATGGCCTACGTGAGTTTCATATATTTTTTGTGTATAGAAATAAAATTGATCTTTATAATATAAGAAATATTAATTACAAACTTTATTCCACTTAAAGTAAGATATAGGATAAAATTCGATCACCATTATCATCGAGCTCATCCCTTTTTGTTACTTTGTCATCGCTCTTAGAATACCACGCAAAAAATTGATTATTAACGCTTAGAGTTTTAACTTTTAATAGAAGAATAACATTTATAACTAAATAGTCAGGGCTTTTTTTAATTGTGTTTTCAAAAATAATTTTTTGATTTTTAGAACAAAATAAATAAATAAATCTATGTGATAAGACATGTTTTATAAAAATAATTCTAAAATTTATAACTGTTTTTTAATGTTTAGAATCAAATTTAAAGAACATGTTTAATTTTTTTTTTTGTCTTTTGATTTTTAATTTTCAAAACACAAAAAATACAGAAAAATACCTATTTCATTAACTATTTTATAAAATAATTTTAAGAAAAAAAAATAAACACAATCATAGATGCCCTTATACTTCCGCTTTAAAGTATTAATCATTTGAGATGGTTTTTCAAAAATAATGAAAGTTATTAAATACATTTAATTAATAAAAATATAATTTAATTGTCTTAATTATTCTTGATTTAAGTAGGTAAAATTTTATAACGTAATAATTAATACTCTCTTATTATATTTGGTAACGACAATCTATGTAGCACCGATACTGACACGGGACACGGGACACGTGACACGATACGACACGACACTCCGACACGTTAATTCTAAATTTTTTTAGATTTTGACACGTTAGGACACGTTTTAATATTAAATAATATTTTAATTTATGTAGTGTATATTATATTTAATATTCAATAATTTAACAAAAAAATGAAACTAAACTTATAATATTCATTAATTTTGCAAAGAAACATAACATATCACAAATATTTATATTAAACTCAATAAAATGATAATCATAATCCAATGAATCTAATAGTTAGAACTAAAAACTCAACGCAATGCAACCTTTGAACTGTTTTTTGAATTTCTATAACGCGTGTTGGAGTGTCGGGGAGTGTCGGACACGACACGTCAGAATTTTTGAAGTGTCGGTGCTTCATAGACGACAATATGAGATAAAGTTTGAAAAAATTAATTAATATATATTTTTTAAAGCAGTGCATAAAGTAAAATAAAAATCATTCTTCAAAATAATTAAAATTTTAAAATGGGAAAAAAATTTCTTTGCCTTATTAATTATTTATTCAACAATATTTTATGAATATGGTTATATTTACAAATTTTTTATTTACAAATTACACTATGTGCTATGACAGTGCGTACTCAAATTTTTTTATAAATATAAACTACACCATATATTATCTTATCCCTATCTTATATTTTATTCCCTCGAGTTATTTTTTATCATTATCCTCTCGGAACACAAGCTTAGCAATATATTATTTGTTCCATTTAAATAATAGAATTATTAAATTAGAGTTGGTGAAATTGCTTAGGTCACATCCATTAGGTTAGCAAAGACCAAAGACAAAGACAAAGCTAGATTGATTTCAAAAATAATTAAATGAATTAAAAACCTATTTATTATTCGACCCTAACCGGACGCATTGTTGTGTTCCTTAAAACTCACAGAGAGGCAACGGATATGATAAAGTTTAATCAATTTGACCGTTAGAGTATGAAAATTTGAAATCTGAAGCTCCATTTGAAAACAGGGCAAGAGTGGTGGCAATGGACACAAAGCCACAGCAAGAAATGGCAGAAGAAGAAGAGTTTATGCAACAGCTTAGATCCAAAGCAACAGAGCTTTTCATCAGAGAAGAATGGAAGGACTCCATTGATGCATATTCTCAATTCATCACCCTCTGCACCCACCAAATCTCTCGTACCCATATACACACTGACCCAAATCACCTCCAAAAGCTTCGCAGATCATTCTGCATAGCTCTCTGCAACCGTGCTGAAGCAAGGTCAAGGTTGAGGCTTTTCCACTGCGCCTTGCAAGATTGTGATCATGCTTTGGAAGTGGATGCCACCCATTTCAAGACCCTTGTGTGCAAAGGTAAGGTCTTGCTTAGCCTCAATAGGTACTCCATGGCTATGGAGTGCTTCAGAATCGCAATGCTTGACCCTCAAGCTGGTGGAAACTCGGAATGCCTTGATGGGTACTTGGAGAAATGCAAAAAGTTTGATTTTTTGTCAAGGACAGGGTCTTTGGATCTCTCAGACTGGGTTGCAAATGGGTTCCGAGGAAAGGCACCGGAACTTGCTGAGTACATTGGTGCAGTGCAGATAAGAAAATCTGAGATCAGTGGGCGTGGACTGTTTGCAACTAAGAACATTGATGCAGGGTCATTGATCTTGGTCACCAAGGCAATAGCCATGGAGAGGAGTATATTGGCAGGGAAAGATTTGACTGAGGATGCCCAGTTAGTGATGTGGAAGAATTTCATTGATAAAGTTGTGGACTTTGCTAGAAAATGTCATAAAACAAGGGATTTGGTTGGTAAATTGTCAAGTGGGGAAAATGAGGATGGACTTGAGGTGCCTGATATAGATCTCTTTAGGCCTGAGAATATGGAGAACATGGAGTTAAGCGAGGAGATTGATATGAATAAGTTACTGGCCATATTGGATGTTAATTCTCTTACTGAGGATGCAGTTTCAGCCAATGTGTTGAGGAAGAATAATGATTGTTATGGTGTTGGGTTGTGGTTGCTCCCTTCCTTCATCAACCATTCTTGTTGTCCCAATGCAAGGCGCTTGCATGTAGGGGACTACTTGATAGTTCATGCTTCTAAAGATTTGAAGGCTGGTGAAGAGATCACATTTGCATATTTTGACCCTTTGTTTGTGTTGAACAAGAGAAAGGAGGATTCATTGACATGGGGGATTCATTGCAAGTGTAAGAGATGCAAGTTTGAGGGGGAAATCTTCTCCAAACAAGAGATAAAAGAGATTGAGATTGGTCTTGAAAGAGGTATGGATGTGGGTGGTGTGGTGTATAAATTAGAGGAGCAGATGAAGAGATGGAAGGTGAGGGGGAAAGAGAAAGCCTATTTGAGGGCATCATTTTGGTCTGCATATTCAGAGGCTTATAAGTCAGATAGGTCAATGAAGAGGTGGGGAAGGAGGATTCCTGCATTGGATGCTGTGGTTGATAGCATCATAGATGTAGTGGGAGGTGATCACAGGTTACTTAAGATCTTGATGGAGGAGTTGAAGAAAAATGGTGGTGGCCTTGTGAAGATGGAGAAAGCTTTCAAGTTGGCAAGAGAGGTGTATGGCAAGGTGGTGAAAAAGCAAGCAATGAGGACACTTCTTGAGCTATGCATTGGTGATTGAATATGAATACAAAGTTCATTATCAGATCCTATTTACTTTATCTTTCTATAGTCTTTTTTTTCTCCCACTCGTTTGGTGTCTTCTTAGTTACTGTTAAACTTAGTTTCAGCCAGGTCAACTCAAGTTGTGTCATGGCAAACATAAATCCTATGAATTTCAATTTTATTGAAAGATCTTCTTTATTAATAAAATTGCATGTTTCTTCTACTTCAGTGCAAAATTCATTTTTCGTTATGTCAAGTTATCTAATGCGAATAATCCAAATTCAGTATCCTGAAAAATTCTTTTAACTCTGTAATTAAACAGGGTTTATGTGTGTGTGGGCGTGTGTACCAGGGAAATAGATACTTTCACATCATCTCTGTGTGAATGTTTTGTTTCTGAATCTTTCTTTCATGAATATTAATAAATTTTAATTGGACCTGTCTAGTCTATTTAAGAGAAAAGGGATATATGGAATTTTAATACGTGAGAATCTACTGCCGAATATTATAAATCGGAACCATTACCGAAAGAAGTTAGATCATAAAGCGATAAAGTAGGCGCAATAGCGGTAGCAGCGTGCAAGCATGACTATGAAATTGATAGATATTATGCATAAATATAATTTAAAAGAGCACCTGCACTTTGAAATGCAGAGTAAAGAACTACTGATGTAATCAAATGTTTAATATTGATGAAGGACTTTGTTAAGGGTAAGCAGAAAGCTAATTGACTATAGTTTATATTGGATGAATCAGGATAAATTATTATATCGATTTCTCTATTATTTTTTTTCTCGATCTGTGTGTATTGGCAGAACCGGGATTTAATATTAGCCAGGATGAAAAAGTTTGACATATTAAATTATCAAAATATTTATTATAATTACACAAATCTATTAGGAAATTTTTTTACCATTAATTCTTTTTTTTGGAAATATTCCATCGGTTTATCGCTTTGCGATTAGTCCGATTCGGGGCAGGTCCAGGATTAAGGCTTTAAACCCCTCCCAAAGGTGGTACTGGAGAAGTTCGAACACATGCACTCACTCCCACTTGCTCAGCTCCTATGCGCCAACTGAGCTACCATCATTTGGTAATTTTTTTTTTTTTACCATTAATTCTAACATACTTATTTAAATTATTTACTAAATAATGTCACATAATATTGAAAATTCAAATAAACAATAGCCAATGATTATATATAAAAGCAAAAATATAAAAAGGCATTAACCTTTACGGTAAGCATTCCAAACAAAAGAATCTCATTTTTCTCTCACAACATAATAAGTAATGCACTAAGTACTTGTCCTAAGGATATGAATACACACAAATATAATAATTGTGTGTATAATAACATTTGATAAACAATTTAAAATATAATCAAAAAATTGCATACCTAAAATTGTAAACGAAACTCTTTTAAATTGACGAAATTATCAAGGATAGAATCTGTAGTAAAAGTTTCAGCAATCTCTCTTTCAATATACACAACCAAATTATTTGCAAGAAAGTCATACTCCATTTTGTTCGAAACCTTGTTTTCACAATTTTCATTGCTAAAAATGCATGTTGACTACTTACTGTTGAAACAAGTAGTGTTAAGATAAGATGAATTAACCTATCAACCAAATGATAGGAATTTGACTTTCTTATCTTAGCTAATCATTGGCACAACTCAGAATAAATTAAAAATCAAAACTTTAGTAGATATCTACACAAACAGGTGAAAGGGGTTAAGGAGAGTAACCGCAACAGTGAATGTCAGTGGCGTTGGTAACGAACGTGTGAAGAAAACACAACATTGAAAAGAAGAAAAGCTAGAAAACAATAAGGGTACCCAAGAATGGACCTTAAATGATTATTATGGCTTAATGGTCGAGCAGTTTCACTTTCCTTTCTTTCACTAATGGTCTTTGTAGCAATAATTGTTGTGTAGTGTATTGAGGGCTGTTAAAATATACGTTTTCAATCAGTAAAAGGCCATGTATTGTGGGTTGTTACATTTACGTTTTCAATGATTAAAAGGTTCATAATAATTCATCTTCAATATATCTTAATCTTTAGATAGGGCCAAGACTCCACCTAGCTAGGGCCAAGGTCCATAATAATCCATCTTCGATAATAATCTATCAATAATAAGTAAAAAAATTTAGCTAGGGTCTAGGCCTCACCTGTCACCTCTGAAGCACGGACTCGGCAGTTTTTTAAAAAAATACGTGTCCGACACGTGTCGGACATGGACACGCTTCGACACACTCCGACACGCGATCAATATTTCAGGACACGTTGACTATTTGGACACGCGAATTTGACCGAATCAGACACGGTCAAAGGGCAAAAATGTAATTTTTTTGAAATTTTTATAAAATTAAAATAATTCTAAAAAAAAACAGACAGACACAAACACAGCTCCGTCTCCATAGCCGTCTGCTTCAACCTTCTTCCTCCCGTTGTTCTTCGTCGTTCTTGTTGAAGAGGGTGGTGGTTTTTTGCTAGCTTCTAAACCCATTAACTCAAGATATGTGGTGGCTAGAGTCCATTTAGTGTGATTGAGAAGAGAAATGAGAAGGGTGGATATGAGTATGACTATGAAAGAGAGAGAAGTTTTTCAACAAAGAAAATGGCAGAGTGAAAGAGTAACTCAGTAAAGTGGAAGACAAAGGAGAGATTTGAGCTGGGCTATACGTGTAGCTTCTATCTCTGTGTCTAAAACCAAAAAAATTGGATATTAAAATAATAGAGGTAAAATGTCAGCCACAAGAAAGATTGGGATATTAAAAAAAAACAAAAAATAATGAAGGTGAAATGTCAGCCACGAGAGAGATTGTTCCACTTTTATGTTTTTATACTTTCTTGTGTATTTGATGAGTGTATTATATAAAAAACTATATCACATATATTAAAATTATTATTTAATATCAAAACGTGTCCTAACGTGTCGAAAATTAACATTTTTTTAAATTAACGTGTCGACGTGTCGTATCGTGTCGTGTCCCGTGTCAGTGTCCGTGCATCATAGCCTGTCACTAAGGTGGCTACACCACTATGTCGATTTCCAACAGTTTAGATTTTTTTTACACACAAAAGCATGATAACAAATTAAAGGTATATGAAACTTGAATTTCTTAAGTAATAGGAAGGGTGATGGAGGTGAAATAGATGAATATACTAAGAAAGTGATGCAATAATATGAAATACAATTTGGTGGAGATACGAGATAATTTAGAAATCACAATAATATGGAGAACAATGGTGAAGAAAACCCTCCCTTAGAAGAGGAGATATTTATAGTGTGAGAAAAGATTCCTAGACGTGAGAATGATAATGTCATAATCATTTTTAACTCTGTGTCCCACCAGACGAGTGAGACTGTATGACCCGTCATAAGGAGAATAAGGTGTAAACGAACCTTTCATCTTCAAGTGAATATGGACTAGACATGCCATGCGACTAAATGGGGAGTCCAAGTTGCTGTTTCAAACTAAATCTACTCTCCATTTTGTGATTTTGTTCATTAAATTTATTAGGAAAAAATTCAAAAAACCCTCTTTGATTTGATCCAAAATCATTTATTGTATTTTTTTTATCACTTATCTCCTTCGTGATTTTTTATCCTTCCAAATCTATCTTTAACGTCGTTAAATATTGGGCTAATGTATCAATTTTGCCCTTACGAATAATAAAAAATATGGGGGAGGTAAGTGATTAAAGAAGAGAAATATAAAAGGGATAATCGATAAAATATTAAACCATAGGTTTTTGAACTTTACCCTTCCAATGATTAAAAAAATAAAAAGAAAAAAATTTGATGTGAGAAACAATATGTAACTAAACAAGTTACTGAGGGATATGACCATTGAAAATAATGATATTTGATTCAAATGTCTTCCACATACCTCTTTTATGTTTGTCATTTACACGTGTCTTTTATGTTTGTCGATTTGTATTTAAATATATCATTGTTATACATATAGATGATTGATAAAGAAAAAATTATTGTTATCCTAATAATTTATTTATTTTTATTTTTGTTTGAGTCTACAGAATAAATTAATAATTAAAATATAAAAAAATAAAATATTAAAATAATAGAAATAGAGTACCAATGACAAATCTTTTTATATTTAAAAAATATTTAAGTAAATTGCAAGAGTGTCAAAAAATATAACGATAATCATCTCAGTTTTAATTTTTTTCACAGCGAGGCATTAAAACATTTTTCTTGGATAACACATGGTAACGAATCTTGAAATATTGGTCATATACCCTGTTAGTTTGTTCAGTTTCATATTGTTCTTTACTTCAAGTTTTTTCTTTTCTTTTTCTTTTAATTGTTACATGGAAAAAGTTCAAAATACCCTATATGGTTTAATATTTTATCACTTATCCCTTGCACTTCTTTTTTTAATTACTTAACTGCTCTAATTTTTTTTTTTTATTTGCATGGGCAAAATTATCATATTAGCTCAATATTTAACTGTATTGAAAGTGAACTTGAATGAAAAAAATTGCAGAAAAAATAAGTAATCAACAAAAATACAAGGGTTAAATTATTTTGTTGCAAATCGCATGAATGAACTTTTCTCAATTCACTTTATTTACTATAATCTGAAAATTTTACATATAGATATTTACTAGATTCTTAAAATTTTACATATAGAACGGTCCCCGTGAGTAAAAATCTAGAGTTCAGAATGATGGTGGTCTTTATTGAGTGTATGCTATGAATCTACTTGTCGGTAGTTTTGACTATGATCAAACAAACGTCGCAGCAAGAATGATCTTGTGAGAAGTTGATGAAAATAGACTTTTAGTAAATCCTGAAAATGGACTTCGTGTGAATGAACTGACTAATTCATATTGTAATCATAGTTATTTGGAAAGTTATGAATAGCTCGAAGGCTTATTACATAGTGTTCTAAGGTGATAATATTATGGGTCGGTGAGTTTATAGGTGGAAGAAAATTATGTTTACATATGGGGTTTATGTGAAAAAAATTATACATATGGATAGGTTTATTGACAGTTTTTGTTGATGATGAACAAATTTCAAATTAAATATGGATTTTTTTCATCTTAATATTGTGAATTTTGGTTTTTGTTTTTTTTTGTTTGTTTAATGTACACATTAATATCTTAATTAAGTATTTACGTAAGATGCTTATCCTCCACTCAAGAAGATAATGACAAATTTCTAATTAAAATATAATGAAAAAAATATGAAAAACAATTCTTTTTTAAATAACTCATTCTTATTAATTTAAATCTAAACGGTTATACCTAAACAATAGAAATATATTTATGCTTTTAAAAAATGTGAAAGTGTGGTCCTTGATATACGTTTATATCCTTTTACCTATAATTATATATTTCAAAAAATACATAATTATAATATAATTTTTTTTCTCTCTTTAATTTTTTTTTTTTAGAAATTTGTCGTTGACATAGAAAAACAAAAATTTTATATTATAACTATGTACTAAATAAATAGTTATAAAAAATGAAAAGACATAAACTTATATATTTTTTTTAAAACAAACACTAAACCCTTATAAAATAATGAAATTTGCATCTATTATGTCACGTGACACAAAAAAGTTTCCTACACACACAACATTTTGTGGGACTTGCATTTTTTGAAGCAAAATAAAATAAAATTAAGGCACGTAAAACGAATCTCTATTACATTACACAATCAATTTTTCTACAACATAACTCTTATAAAACTCTAAAATAATATTACAGATAAATAAAATATGAATCAAAATAAGATAAAAGAGAATATACTTTGAAAAAGTGGATGCTGACTCCAATTAGTCACATGTGATGAATGACTTGTCCAGTTACAAACCACAAGCATCTTATTTTGTTTTTATTTTATGATTGTTTCTATTTTCTATAAGGTAGTGCTTATCCCTTGTCCAAAGTCGCAGCCAACCCCTTTTAGAAAGGACAGACGCCACTCCCAAGTGCGGCTGCTTGTAGCTATCCTTTGCTCCTTCATTATCCCTTACTCGTAAATCAGGAATTCCACATGACGTAGCCTCGAAGTGGTAAATTAAATAAGTTCCTGGCATGTGATATAAACATCCACATTAAATAATTTGATAAAATATATGAGTTAGTACACTTTGTTTAAAAATAAAATAAAATAAATTAGTGCACTTTAACATTTTTTATTTCACAAATTTAAAAGGGAAATGATCTACTATTACTCAGTAATTTTACTTATCTCTAACTATTATAATTTATAAATAATGTGTGTCATTATTAATCATTTGAATTGTAAGATATAATCAGATTAATATCATAGTTAAGTATTAAACATTCTTATTTTTAGAATTTCTATAACAGTAAAGAACAAAATTCGCAGTTGCATCCGAGAAAGCTTGCAAATTCGCAATTCCTTTTTATTGTGGCCATTCAGACTCACTACTTTCCCCCATCGTTACTGCCAAACCAGGTTTTTCTTAAATTCTAAGGTGGTGAAGCTGTAGAAGACACATGTTCCATCTTCCAACCATATTTTTGCAAAGGAGTAAGGAGTTGCGTGCTGAACTCATCTATCATTGCATATACAGCCCATTATATTTTTGGTAATATTCAAGGTATGGTAAGAATGAGTAAAACTTAATTTTAATAACAATTTTCATTTCAAACCACATGAATTCTTAATGTCCGAAAAATAAAATTATTAAAATAAATATGACCACTTCTAACCACACGCTTACAACTGCAAAAAAAATAAGCAAAAAAAAAAAAAAAAACAATTTTCTACTCTTTTTTCATGGACCAAACAATGATGCATTAGTTTGTTGAAAACATTCTCAATAACAATTCAAAGGATCAAAGAATTCAGAAATTGGTTGCTGACTGCACAATTATGTGGAACTATATATATGCAATATGCTAATAATATTCCTATGGAGAATTGAATGTAACCCAACCTAGATAAAGTTGGTTCAAATAATCTTGGACAAAAGTCAGTAACAGATATGTATGAGAAATAGTTAATATCCCCATCGGTGCATGGCGTGCCAGGTGACGCATGTACTAGGTATTGGAAAGTCATCCTAAGATCCAATCAAAGCCATGCAACACCACACAAACGACAATAACCCTCAAAGATAAAAGACTCACCAATCTCCCTTCAAACATTTCAAACACCTTGGTTTCTCTCGAAGCCTCTCAAATTTTCTTTACTTCCTTCTCCTTCACTTGTTCCACATTAGCACAAGAAGCCATCAAAAAACTATTCTATAGTTCCAAACCAGACTTGTCTTTTGGCTCAATGGAAGGCAGAACAAGCTCTGAACTCCCCCCTGGCTTTAGGTTTCATCCAACCGATGAGGAACTAATCGTTTATTACCTTTGTAACCAAGCCACATCAAAGCCATGCCCTTCATCTATCATCCTAGAAATGGATATCTATAAATTTGATCCATGGGAATTACCTGGTATATAGTAACATCACTTGCCAAAGCTTTTTTATTATGCATAAATTTGTATGTCTTGCACATGCTTCATTCATTATAATACTAACATATTATAATGGAATGCAGATAAATCAGAGTTTGGAGAGAATGAATGGTATTTCTTTAGCCCCCGAGAAAGGAAGTACCCAAATGGGGTAAGGCCTAATCGAGCAACAGTGTCAGGGTATTGGAAGGCTACTGGCACAGACAAGGCAATCTATAGTGGATCTAAGCATATTGGGGTGAAGAAATCTTTGGTCTTTTACAAGGGTAAGCCACCAAAGGGGTTCAAGACTGATTGGATTATGCATGAGTATCGATTGGTTGAATCAAAAATGCAAACTAGTAGGAAAATTGGGTCCATGAGGGTATGCCTTTTTTTAAGCCTTGGCCTCATTGTTATTTTCTCAATTTTGACATTTATAGTTTGCTATTCAATGTTTCTTTATAATTGACCTCTCACTTGTGGTTGGATGTGTCATCAGCTGGATGACTGGGTCTTGTGCAGGATCTATAAGAAGAAGAACATTGGAAAAGCATTGGAGCAAAAAGTTGAGTACCCAATAGTCCAAACTACTAATCTCACTGCTGCAAATAATGATGGTGAACAGAAAATGATGAACCTTCCAAGGACTTGTTCCCTCACTTATCTTTTGGATATGGATTACTCAGGTCCAATTTTATCTGATGGATCCTACTACTCAACCTTTGATTTTCAAATTAACACTGCCAATATTGGAGTAGACCCTTTTGTGAAACCTCAGCCAGTTGAAATGACTAACCATTATGCAGCAGATTCAGAAAAGTACCAAGTGAAACAGAGTAGCACCATCAACCAGCCCATGCTTGTGAAGCAAGTGCATGATCTGCTAGGATATGAGTATGACCAACAAGAAACAACAAGAGCTTGGATTGTCTAGACATGACATGAGCGTCATTCATATAATAATCCTGAGGATTCTTTCCTGAAGTGTGTCAAATATCTGCTATATCCCAAAATGGATTTTCAATGTATCATTAAATCTTTTTCACTAATTGTACAAAAGGACAAGTGTGTTGGCTCTTAATTAAAGTTCACACGTCTGGAATTACCTTCGTTATTTTTGATACGGTTCAAGCTTTGAATGCATTTGAAGCTAAACTTGGTCACTCACTTATTGGACATAATACAATGAATTTATTATACATTGGGCAAATTCTGTACTACAAGTCAATAATTAGAGGCCAAAGAGGTATTCAAAGTTAATATGATTATTTGTTTGCACCTTGTCTTACTCAACAAAGAGATGACGAAAGTATTGATTGAAAAAAACAAAGGTCACTGAACAGTTTGGAAAGCAAATAAAAGCGCGTTTGAGATTGGACTAAATAATAAGGAGGCTGAGGATGATACATTTCATACTTTAATTTAATACTAATCCTTGTAATTGAGCTGTCAGGGAATTGAAAGTGAATAAGTAGAATTTAAAATAAAATCACTTGAATGAGTCAAATTTCATATTAATGTGTTGTAATGTAATTTGGTCTAGCATTCTTGGGAATGTTAGGTCTAGGACACGAAGCAGATCAGGTCAAGCATTTCTTATACTAATAAATTCATAAGCGCCTAAAGATTGCCAGAGAGCCAGAGAGCTATAGCTAATACATAAATAAAATATTAACTATACCAGCTATTGACAATAGCAGCCTTGTCTCCAATAATTAATATAAGAAACTGAATTACTGAAGCTTTCATTCTCTTACGAATCGATTACTCGTGTAAAATACATAAACTCTGCATTACTATTTATTTCTTAATTGCTCTCTTAATTTTGGATTGTTGCCAAAATTATATTCGTATACATATCTCAGTTGTGTGAATCACTTATCCTTTGCAGATTGATAAAGAAAAGTGGAAAACTGCATTCTGCATACACACCGTTCCCACAGCAAGCTCCCAAAGCACTGAACTATCAAATCGCAATTCAGGTTAATTTTTAAATCGTGAATTATAAATCGTATTGAATCAGATTCAAAGACATAATTAAAAATAACTTAAAATATATCATATAAATAATATATGGGAAAAACATTTATCCGACAACTTGAGATAAATTTATCTACGGCCACCTCAAAACTACGTCGTTTTGTTTATTTATTTTCTCATATTAATTGATTCACTCTTGAAGGAGGGTTATGATTCACTTTTTCTCTCTCTTCCTTCATTACCATTGATCCATCTTTATACGATTATGATTTAGTAGCCGGAGATAAAATTATCTCCAACAGCTTGAGAAACGATAAGCCCATAATATATTGGCTTTAATGTTTGTAAATGTACATAAGTTATCTACATTTTTGAGTTGAAAAATTAAAAAATTATAATGAAAAAGACTATTATAACTCTAAGACAAATTATAACTATAAAAATACATTGATTTCCGTCTCAAAATGATGTCGTTTTAAACTCAATGTAAATAAATTATCTACATTGACTATAGAAAAAGTGAACCCTAATATATAATGTTCGATGTAATGATTTTAAGTTAAGAACTAAGTTAGAGGTTTAGGAAATGTAAAAAATGATTTTGGGAGAATTACCGTCTACAATAAGTATGATAATATTTGAACCAGACTAGTTAGGTGGATTTAGATATTTTTATGTGAAAAATAGTTATGTGATCATGTTATTTAATCATAACCACTCATTTAAAAATTATACATTTTTCTCTCTCTTATCTCATCATCATCAGTAAGTGATTGTGATCAAATAATATTATCACCTTTTCACATGAGAAAGGATCCAAATCCCTAGTTAGGTAATCAATAAGCACCGGTGGATATATAAAAAAATTAAAAATTAAGAATTAACAAAACGACATAGTAATAAGTGTAACAGAACAAAATCATAAGTGATAATACCTTTTTTTGAGTTTTATAAGAGTTATGTTGTAGGAAAAGTGATTATGTAATGTTATTGAGATTCATTTTGTGTGCCTTAATTTTTTTAATTTTTTTTTTGCTTTAAAAAATGTGGACCTCACAAAATATTGTGAGTGTAGAAATTTTTTTGATGTCATGTGACACAATAAATGCAAATCTCTATCTTTTTCACATAAAGTGAATGCATGAAACTTATGTTTCATAAAAACGAAAGCAGAACAATGTTACAACCAAATAAAGTGCATATCAAGTGTGCGAGTGACTTGTGTAAAACAATGTTGTTAAAATTAAGATCTTAAATAAAATTGAAAGAGAATTAAAAAATCGTAAAACATAAAATTATAATTTAAAATAATTGTAAAAAACGTAAAAATATTTGAAATATTAGTAAAATTATTTTGAAAAAAAAAATATCATAAAAATATAAAATTATAGTGATAAATCAAGATTTTAACAACAATAGTGTAAATTTGTTTCAAAAGAATTAAAAACTTATCAATGAAAGAGCCGCGTAGTACGCAATGAGTAAGTGACGGCAATGCAATAATTAAGTAGGGTTTATAGCTCGTCTAGATCCTTTTCATCTAACCATTTAAAATTATTTGACTTTTTAATTTCTTTTTTCAAAATCGATGAAATAAAAACAAAAAAGAAAAGAAAATAAATTTTTTTTTTATAAACCACAAGTATCCTTCATGGTAAATAATTATGTTCGAGTCGAAAATATTTATATCATGGAAAAAAATAGCTCTCTTAAGGACAACTTTTTGCATTCACAAAAACTTAGGGTGTGCATGACAACCATTCCATTCCCTAGCACTGTTTCTGAAAAGAAACAATTTTTTTCTATTTCTGTTCCTTGGAATAATTTCTGAGGAAAAAAATGTGTTTGATAATATGTTCTATTTTTATTCCGAGAATGAGAATTACGTTTGATAACATAACAAATAATATAATAAAAAATAATTCCTATTAAATGTAAAAAAAATTTGGATTATCCCTTTCCTTTCCATATGATGTGGTTGTGGTGGTGGCGACGGCGAGGAGTGGCATGGTGGTGGTGGCGGCGGCGGCGGTGGTACGGCGGTGGTGGCGTGGTGATGATAGTGGTGGTGGTTGTTGTGATGACAGTGGCTGTGGCAATGGCGGTGGTAATGGTGGCGACGACGGTGGTAGTAGTGGGGATGGTGGTGGTGGAGGTGACGACCGTGGCTGCGACAATGGTGGTGGGGATTGTGGTTGATGGCATAGGTGGCGGTGACAATGGTAGCAGTGGCATGGTAGTGGTGGTTGTGATGACATCATGGAGGTGGTGGCAGTGGCTGCGGCGGTGGTGGTAAGTGATAATGGTGGTGGTGGTGGTGTAATGGTAGCGATGGTGGTGGTGGTGACGGTAGTGACTGTGACGATGGTGGTGGTGGTGACGGTAGTGGCTGTGACGATGGTGGTGGTGGTTGGTGGCGGTGGCGGTGGTGGCTGCAGCAATGATAGTGGTGGTGATGGTAGCGGCGGCATTGTGGTGGTGGTAGTGGTGGCGATGGTGGTGGTGGTAGTCGTGTGGTGATGACGATGGTGGCGGTGGCGGCAATGATTGCGATGATGGTGGTGGTGGTTGATGGCGGTAGTGGTGATGGTGGTTGCAGCCGTGGTAGTTGTGGTGGTGGTGATGGTGATGGTGGCATGGTGGTAGTGATGGGTGAAGGTGGTGGTGATGTGGCGGTGGCATCGTAGTGGTGGGGGGTGGTCACGACAGCACTAATGGTGCGACGGCGGCAGCAACGATGATGGCAGTGGTCGTGTTGGGAAGATGGTGGTGGTGATGGTGATGGAATAGATGGAGAGTAATTAAGAGAGATAAAGGTTTCTCATTTTGTGCCTGAGAACAAAAAAGCAGAAATTTTTTGATTCTTTTTTCTGTTCCCAGCACAAAAATTAATCCGGTTCATCCCGGGAACAAAAAAATAAACCGGTTTTACTAAACGAGTTTTCTATCCATTTCTGTTCCTGGGAACAGAAATTCAAAAAAAAAAATTATTCCGGGAAGGTTGTCATGCGCACCCTTAAACTCAAGATCTTACTTAAGTAGAAATCAACATGTATCATTTGAACCAATCTCTCTTATTATTTAACATGACTTTATAACTTAACCATGAATCAACAAATCAATGATGATAATTTTACCAATATTTTTTCTTTCTTTTCCCTTCTCATCATTAATTCATTCATGGTATTGGTGATATGAAATCGCACCAATTCATCTTTATAACTCACAATTTACAAATATCTCCAATTCATCACATGATATAAATTGGGCATTTGGTACAACAAATGTAACAAATCAATTCAACCTAAAAGTTTAAACTGATGAGTGAGGGTCTTTTAATGATTTATATTATTTCCTAACACATTCCCTCACAAGAGAGTCTATTGGGCTTGAAAGCTGGATGATGCATTAGGCTCAACCTATCTGTACTAATAAATTCCACAAAGAAAATGGAGGCGATGATAATCGAACCCGGGATATCAAAACTCTGATATCATATAAAGAATCAATTCAACTCAAAAACTTAAATTAATGAATAAAAGTTTTTTAATAATTTATAATATTCTCTAACAAGAAATATGCTAACAAAGTTATATTTTAAGAGCATTTGCAATGCTCTAGCACTGAAAAAAATCTTAGAGCAAGAAATTTCAGAGTCCTAAACGGGGAGCCAGCTACAGACAAGTTAAAATTACAACATTTTGATTAAAAATAAAAGCTAAATATTTACATCACAGGAAGACAAGTGACATGTAAATGTCATGGTTCACGTGATATGTCTTTATCATTATTCATTTGGCCCTCATTAAATTTTTGGGAAAAATATTTATTTTTTTAAAAATAATTATTTTAATTATAATTAATATTTTTATTTAAAATTTAAATTAAAAAAAATCTCTCATTTTTTCTCTCCGCAATTTTTATTATATTTTTTCTCTCACTTAAAATAATTAAATTTTATGTCATTATTATTTGCATCGCTTTAATTCTTGCATATAGACCGAGTTTCAGCAGATGAGAATCAAATGCGACGCCCAACACAGCAACCAATCACTGTGCAACATTTTTTTTTTTTTTTGGTAATAATCTCTATGCAACCTCTTAATGTAAAAGTAAAATAAAATGCATAAATTATTTTCCTTACACCTTCAAGAGCAATGAGGTCGTGACTCTTGAATTCTACATCAAAATGAATATTGAACGAAGAAGAACAAAAAGCTTCAAATACAGTCTATTTTTTATTGAAAGCTCGTAATTATTTTAACAGATATTAATTCCACTCAGATTTTTGGACTGCTTATATTGAAAGCTTGAAGTTATAGACAAAGCCTGCAGAGAAGGCTAGACAAAACATTCATATTCAGGGCAATGCACACCACTACATTTCCATGTCCACCATCTTTTTTTACCAAAACCAAAGTAAACTTAAAAAAAATTAAGACGTATAATACATGGATATAATACTAGGTAACATATCAATGCCTGCTTATTGATATTGATGACATGAGAATAAGAATCATGAACAGAACTACTGCAATGAAAGAGCCAATCAGTGAACCAGAAATACGTTCATAGAAGTTGTTGTATTGTCCACAGAAAGGAAACCAATTGGCATTTGGGTTGTCACAGTGCGCAACATAAATGAATAAATCTTTGGTGCTATTGTTACACTAAGATTCAGTGCATTTCACTAATGGAAACATTACACATTACAAGAGAGAAAAAAAATTTGACATAAAAAAAAAACTTTAATTAACATGTAATATTTTTATTGGTGGAATGTACTGAATCTTTGGTGCAACTGTAGCACTAAAGATTTATTCAACGTAAACAATAGTTGCTGCTGCCGAGGCTACAGTTGTCAAAAAAGACCACAAACATAACCTTCACAAGTTCAATCTAACAAATAACACCTTCGTTAGAAAATTTTGGCTAACATGAAAATAAGTTCAATGTACTGTAGCCTAGTTTTCGTAGGCAATTTCCCCCCATTCCCCCCCTCTCAGAACAGCTTTTAATCCAATTTAAACTTAGTAACAAATAGTGGAATGAAAAATAGTAACATGGTAATTTAAAAGAATAAATTTAACATGAGATTCATGTTTTTCCTATAATATGTGATAAAGTTAACTCGTGTAACCTCAAAACAATATTGAAATACACAATATGCATTTTTCCCCCTAAATTTCAAAACAATATTATTTTCGGTTACACGAGATAACTTCCTATTGCAGGATAAATACTTTTCCATTTAACATACAGAAATGGACAAGAAAGAGGAGAAAAAGTTAAAACATTCAATAGACCCTTTCCCAGTAACCAAACTGGTGCCTAAATTTGGAATTACATTCTATGGTTACAAAATTGACGAAGAATCAGTTTGTTTATCGTGTCAAGAATTAAAGACCAGGAGAATCCTACTTTTCACTGCAGAAGTCCTTACTATGTGGAAGAATGACAGGGCAAGTAAAAGAACTAGGTAGCCACATACAATAGAATTGGAGGTCACAAAAAACCTGGAATTACATATTCAAATCCTCATTATTGTCAACTCTTCTTTTGCTTACAATATCATAGTAAAAGTTAATAATTTTATGCCTGTTCGGAGCACTTGATAAAGAAATTAGGATAGGATAACTTATCATATCCTACTTTTATCTCTTGTTTAGTGGATCAATAGAATATGATTAGTTTATCTTATTGTCTCATTTTATCCTATCTAATATATAAATTCTTATCCTATCGGAAGAGTTGGGTTATGATTCTCAACAGGATAGGATATCAATATTTAGTACCCAATATACTCCACGCTACTCAATATATCCTCACGCTACTCAATATACTTGTATTTATTGCATTATATTTTATTTTTTTCTTTCTCTTTTCTCCTTCTACATAATCTTATCAGATTACTAATTAGGTGTTCATCAAACACAGAACATGATATAAGCTTATCAGCTCCATATCATATCCTATCTTTATCCGCCTTATATCATATCTTATTCTTATCCGCCTCATATTATATCCTATCTTTTATGAACCCAGCTCACGTACCGCTTGAATGGGCGCATATCCTACCCTTATCCTATTCTCCCCAGCAAACGAACCCTACCTATACATACAAGACTACACTTGAAATCATTGGCGGTAAAGACAACACTTAAAAGTTAATAATTTTAAGGTATACATACAACTCTTCTATAAACATATTTCTTTTTCAGTAAAGACTACACTTGCGGTTGGACACTACAATATAGTTTCCTTGTGTGAAAAACAAAACTACTTTAATTATATAAACTTTAATAATTTATTTTATTAAATCATTGGCTCAGTAAATTTGATTTATAATGCCAAAAAACTATTTTTCAGATCCTTTCATCACATATGTTTATAAAGAGACATTGATGTTTATTGGCTTATTGCAATGGACAACTGTATTTTGACTAAGAAAATAGTTGATATCAATGGCTGGAAGATAAAATTTTAAATCAGACTAATTCTTTGTTTGGTTGGTAGATAATTTTTGAAAGCATTCATTGTTTGATTAACATGACCCGTTTTTTTTTAAATGGTCTTCTATCCTCTCTGCTGCCTTTTTTTTTTTTGGCGAACCCTCTGCCTTTTTTTAAGCCTCAACTTTCTGATGAGATCCATCAAAATGGTGGCCCTAGTTTTTCAGGGTTGTACGCAGATTTGAAAGGATTATGGGCTTTATGGCCCATATTTAATAATGCATACTCTGGTTTGGGTTCTCAATCTGGAGGCCTTAAATGATCTGGGAAAATCGATTTGTGTTCTTTTCTTTATTTTATTTTGTTGTCATATAAATAAAGGTTTAATATTTCTTATATTGTATGAGATAAATTTTTTTCCTACATATACATAAAGGGGAAAATATTTATCTTTTTAAAGGATATAACTTTGTGTCATTTAAGATTTTAATCGTTGATTTCCGTTAATTAATGGCTATAATTTATTGTGAATTACTAAATAATTAATAAGTTTGACCCAATAAATTATAATCGTGGATTGACGGAAATCAACTGTTAGAATTTAAATTGATGCAAAATTATATTCTTTCAAAGGACAAATATTTTACCTATATATAAAAGTGTGTAAAATTCATTTTTTTTTCTCTTCTTTACACTGGCCCCACATGGGGCCTACACAGTAGGAGATGAAATTTTATCTCCTACAATATTAGCAACATGAAACCCTATAAATAATTATGATTTCAAAGAAAAAATTTGAGTTACAATTTCGCCCGCCTTAAAAAGTTAACCGACTCAACCATTGTATAGTATATTTTTGCAACAATTTATGCGTTGCGCTCTAGTATATAGGTATTCACTAGAGGTAGCAAAGTCTTGCCATCAACCCGCCAAAAAATGAGTCAGCCCGCTTCGTCTCGCTTTTGAAAGTGAGCTGAAAAACTCGGCTCGTCCTGCCCCATTTGGCTGGTTGGGCAGGTTGACCTGCCAGCCCGAGCCTATTTTACATTGATTCGTCTCGGCCCGCCTATACCTGCCAAAAAACTGCCCCCCACACCCTGCTTTTGAGATGAGTTAAAAAACTCAACCCGTCCAGCCTTATTTAACGAGTTGCCCCGCCGAGCCAAACCCAATTTGCAGGCTCTAGTATTCACCATCGTACTTCTTCAATTGGACCCCATGGCACCATTCAACGATTTTTTATTTTTTATTTTTTGAGACTGATGGAGCGTTCAATTTTCAATGGCTACTAGAAGGGACCATTCTTCAACCTTTTTCATGTTCAGTGCTCACAATTGCTACGACAATTGCACGTTGTGTACACCCAAACATGATGCACAAGTAGGAACCCTTGAATTGCCTGGTGTTTTTGCTACGTCCATTCATGACCACACACTGTTAATACCGCTTGTGAAACGGTTTTCTTACCCACTAGCCATGTTCTAGCCAATGTCATTTTCCATCAATTTGCCATAACTTGACATTCAAACCCTACCCAAAACATGATAATATTGAGACAGAGACCCCCCTCATACACTAAAGGTATGACGATTTTCAATTTTCCTAGTGACTTTGTCCCTTTTGCTGCCATTCGATTCTAAGGAAGTGTTATGTCAGTGTGTGCCAGGAAAAAATCAAATTGTGACAAAAATCAAGAAAAGAGCACAAAAAACAAAACAACAATGAAGTCTGAGGCGGAGCAAGGCTAATTGGAATGCGCATGTCCTATTATTCTATACATCACATCATATTATCTTTTCACCAGCCATTATCTATAACCTCATCATCTGGCTATAAACGTAACTATCCAATTCATCAGTTCAAGCTTCACCATCTTGCATGCTATGGTGTATGTTGATTTGGCTGACTTGCTAGCTAATTCTATTAGCACTTCTAAATTTGGTCTTAATACTCCCCCAAATTAAATGTTGTATGAGTCCTTAAAAACAAAGTAAAAAAGGACAGAGTTGAACAATGACATAGAAAATTGCATATGAAATCCATGGTTCCATAAAATCAAAATCAAAATTCGCCTTGGGTCATCTCCTTCACTATGGTTATATTTAAGGGAGTGCATGTGAGGTACATGTGATGGCGAGGGTCCTTTATCATAAGTTTCATTGATGGCTATATCGAAAGCCACTTTGGCTTAAACATGTTTGCGCTTACAAGTGGTAATCGTTCAAAGGCAATTATTGTTAAGTTGTTTCTCTAGCAAGAAACGTATGATTTCCTTCAATGACCATAGCTCCTAGGCTTGGAATGCCTTAAAAGTTTAGACTTCAAAACTCATGAAAAGTGTTTCATTAAGTTGTCAAAGTAAGTGGGGTTCTGTTTTTGTTAGTGCTTAGCTTTCATACATTCATGTAGTTTCACATCTCCCTTCGTTCTTTAGTCCTTATCGTCATTTATGGATAATGCGGTTGTTGCCTTGTTGGTGCTGATCCTATTGTGGTTCGAAGTTGTATCCAGTTAACCACGAAAAGTACTATTTTTTCATATCTCAATTTTTGCATGCCTTATCCATTGTCTCTTTCTTTCTCTCTCTATGAATGTCGCAGTGCTTGCTCATGTTGACGTTTGATTTGTTATCAAGCTTAAGCAGCGATTTGTCATTTTGATGAAGATAATCTTTTGGGTATATACCAGAGATACAATATTAATACTATACGTAACCAACATTTGAAGCTGCTTAATTATAGTAGAGAAACACATGCTAGAAGATAATTATTTATACATAATGTCATCTGATCTTTTTAAATAATGTCCTTGTTCTTAATATTATGTCACATGTGGGGTGTTAAAAAGATATAATATAAATTTATTAACGTCACATCACTTATTATTAGCATTAAGAGCCCGTTTGTTTCGCTTTCTTAAAAAAAGTAATTTTTATCTCTTTCTTATGCCAATGATATTAATGTAGAATTTTTTATGGGTTTCAAGTTTTTCTTGTTTTATAAAATGGGTTAAGTCATCATCCATATGGGGTGTAGTATAAAATCTGTTTAATTAAGTGAATCTTTTGTTTCAGCTTAGATATCTGCAAATTGATTAATATGGGTAACAGTATAGACCTAACTCATAGGCTCATGACAGAAAGGGGACTAGGGTTAATGAATTTAACTAGGTCTCCACTCCCCTCGCCTTCACGGTATGTTGAAAAGTCGTCACTCCATAACTTGTCTCATCAACAGTTGGAATCATGGAGTGGTGTAAATTATAGAGGAAGATCATAGTCTTTTCAACCTTGCAGGAGCATCAGAGCAAATAAGAAGTAAGAAAGCCTTCAAGAAATCAAGAATATATCTTCAACAAGTAAGTCTAAATTTGTTGGTGTTCTAATTTTATATAGTACTATCTTGAAATTAACTTACAATTAAAACTTCCATTTTGTCATAAGAAAACTTTTGAAGATTTATACTAATTTTTCTAAAATTATATGTGTCAATCCAAATCATCACTGCTAAGTTATAAATTAGAGTTTTTCAAAATGATTATGATAAAAAAGCTATAATTAAATATAATTTTGTTCTTATGTAGATAATACTCTAAATGGAGTGTTTTGATAAGAGGAATTTTTTGAGATTCTCGAGAAAGTGACAGTGGTAATTTTATTTACTCACATGGTACAAAGTTTCCGGAAAACATTTCGGGAATCTATTTTTCTAGGATTTTTTTTTATGTTCAATTTTTTTTTAAGAATATCATCAGTGGGCCAGGTATTGAGAAAATATTACATTTTTTTTTGAACAAAATTCTAATAATACTTTATTCTACCAAATAATTTTTTAATAATATTTTCGAAAAAATAATTTTTCCACCGTATTCTTGAAAATATTCCCAGAGATAAAAGAATTAATCCTTTATCAAACGCCTATAAGTCTCTAATACAAAATTTACATGTAGAAAAATAAGTTACCTACTGAAGACAATTATTTCTTTAAAAAAAGAGAAATACTAATATCACGCTATAAAATATTAATATCTCACGTCATAGACATAAAATATATAGGGTTCAGTTTTTTAAAATAAATAAAGGGTTTATTTTTTCTAAAGTTACTTTAGATAACTTTATCTAATGTTCATCGAAACGACATCATTTTGGAACGGAAATCATGGTGTTTTTGTAATTTTAATTTATTTCAGAGTTATAATAGTTTTATTATTCTAATTTTTTTTTCAACCCAAAACGACATCGTTTCAATGAACATTAAAAAAAATTGTCTAAAGTAACATTAGATACTTTTTTCCCATAAATAAATACATGTCACATACATGAGATAACTAATCTCTTATAACATAAAAATAGTATTCCCTCTAAAAAATGGTTAGATTACGCGCAATAGCATATGGGCCGAGAGCTCCACAAATTATGCATTTTCGTTGGCATTAAAAGAGCTTCATCTTCATCTGTATCCAAACAAAAAAAAGAAATGGACATATTTTGCTGCTCCAAATTCTACAGAAGTTAGTAACCATCAAATCGATTTGGTCCTTTACTTTGAAAATTGTAAAAAATTGTGTGGTTGAGTAGTTTCTGCAGACATAGCAAAGAAAAAATGATTAGGTTGTGAATC